ACAGGCAGCAGCAAATCAAAGGCTTAAAGATAAGTATCAGCATGCTGATATTTAAGATTTTCTACTGTACTGTAATAGTGAAATGTTTATTTACCATGTGTATCACAATATGTGACTGAGAAAGTCCAGTAAAATCTGTAACTTTCAAGAAAAAAAAAAAAAGCTTCCATTTCTTTTGTTTGCCATCAGCCCATATTGAAACTCAGCTGAGTCGTTTTTGGTTACATGCAACAGTGTCTCATGTTTGCATATAGCAAGCAGATAGGTGGATGGAAAGAAGATGGACAGACTCACAGGGAAGTTCCTGCTGTTGAGTTTGAGGTCCTGCCACATGCTGACAAACAGGTTCAAGTTGAGATGATCCAGCAGCAGATGAACATACACGTTCCTCTTCCTGCTCGCCTCGAGAAGATCACACAGCAGCTCCACGTCACTGAAACTGTCCATCACTATGGCCAGAGTCTGTGCACACACACGGTCATGTCGCTAAAAATGTCAGACTGTGCCAAAAACTAGCACAGACCAATATCACACAGTGTATCTGACCTCGCAGTATACAAGATCAAGTGCTGACATCATTCATATTCCCTCACACCTACAGGCTGTTCCCTGGTGCTCCCTTTTACATGGGACACTCATGCCTACAGAAACACAAATGATTCTCTCCCTCTCACACTTCCTAGCATACCATTTTAGCCTTTCTGATGAATTCTCTGACCAGGTCTTTCATGCTGGCCGTCCTGCTGTCACTCTGGAAATAAACTTCCAAACTGGGCTGCCCCGGGACAGGATCAGTCCACTTCACATCTGGAAGGTACAAAAATAATGTTAGAGATTATATTATTGTACTTCAGCACTAGTGTTAGACAAGTTCATGCTAATTATTTGCTTCTATGAAAGTTTTCTTCTCGGGTTCAAACCTGCCACAGTACGGTCGCTGTCTGAGGACACTGCAGGGCATCGTGTGTCAGACTGGGAGCAGGCAGACAAGCTCTCAAACTGTTTGGCATCATCATCAGATGCACCAGGATTAGCTTTGTAAAAGCAGAAAATAAATGAATATGAACAATACAACCAGCAAGTTTTCTTTTTTTACCAGATGAATCAGTCTTTTGTTTCCAAACACAGCAGGCTGCAGAAAGCCTGTAAAGTCATATGTAAAGACATGTACAACCTGTGTAGCCATCTGTCCCATTCTCCAGGATGTAATTCTTCTCCAGCTCTGACAGAAAGTCCACTTCTCCCTCTGCATTCAGCACCTTGTGGTAACCCTCTAAGCCCTGGCTGAGCAGGGAGTCCACTGCCAGCCGGGCGCTTTCATTGTGGCTCAGGTCCAATGTGGATCTGATGGTTGCAAACTCATAGTAATAGGAAGAAGGGATGTGGAGGTCCTGAACCCGTCGTCTCACCTTCCCCAGAGCTTTGGACCCCTCGTTCCACAGCACAGTCACTCTGCTGGTATCCATGGTGCTAACTTGGGCTCAAAATCAAGTGCCACCCTCCCAGTTATCACCACAAACAGAGCCAGAATGAGATAACATTTTTCTGAGACCCAAGAAAGAGCAACTAGTTCAGACAGAGGGGAGGAGGAAAAATAAGGAAGACGCACCCCTGCTCACGGCAAGATAGCTTGTGATGAGATGACAGGTGAGAACTGTGAGCAAAAGTCATGATATCAGATGTCAACATGAGCTTTCACAATCCAATCCAGGATGTAGAGCGCAACTACACAGGAAAGGATGTTCATGGGTAAATGTAACAAATATTCTTTCGTCCGGTTGGTAAGTAAGCGATAGCGTGTGACAGATTTGTCTTCAAGACACATTTCCTGTATTTCTTTGAGGCACCAAGTGTGTTTTTCTTGTTTTTGATTAACCAGATCAAGAATGACAGAACAAAAACTGGTAGACTTGTTTTTGGGGGGGTTTCCTTCCAGGTCCTGAGACAGAGTGATTTAGAGCAGGTCAGCATAGATAAAAGATGAATGAGTGACTGACAGGAATGGGGATGGCTGTCATTTCAGCTCATGTCAACCAACCCAGGCTGAGCAGCGACAAGCTGAAGCACACGGTCCCTTATCTGCTTAACAGTTTCACATCAACATTTGTCTTCTGCCCATTCTTTTCATACACAAACGTGTCTAGTCTTGACACAAGCAGAAACTGGTAATGACCACCCTGAAACAAACAGGTCTGTTCATTAACATTTTCCAAATGTAACTGAATGTGATCAGTTGATAGTGAAATTGTTTAAAGAGCTGCATTACAAATGAATTACTGCCACAATGTCTGTATCGCAGCCTACCATCAGTAGAGGAGGTAAAAACAGGAATAATGCATGCATTCTTTTAAAAGGGACAATGAGAAAGTGGATTCAAGACTTTTTAAAAAATATTTTATCCAAATTTGGCTTTAAATAAGACAAAAAAAAAAAAAAAAATCAAAATAAAAAAAAAATCCAGAACAAAAAACCAGTCCATGTGTAAAATGACAATGCTGTATGAACATTAAATATATTAAGTAGTGTCAGAAGAAACATACTAGTTATAATGGAACTGACTTTTACATGAAACAGTGGTTGGTCATCTTCAACTTGTTTGAATGGACCAACTAATAGCGGCTAGTCTGTATTGTCCTCTGTCCGAGTCAGTGTTTCTGCTGTTTTAGCTCACTTCAGAGATCAGAGTATGCTTTTCTGACACTGTTGACCCAGATAGCAGTCTGTGGTCACTGGGAGACAGAGGACAGTGTGCAGACAGACTGTGAGGAGGCAGAGCTGCCCTCTCTGGCTCTGGCTGCCAGCTTCTGTCTCAGTTCTCGGATTTCCTTCAGCAGTTCTCTCTCACTGCAGTCCAGCTGGGCCCGTCCTCGGTCCAGGGAGACTGACAGCATACAGAGAAAGAAGGACAAACAGGAACAGGTGAAAGAAATCATTATGTCTACTATTATTCTGATATTTCACATTCTTAAAATAAAGTAGTGACACTAATTGAGCTAAGACAGGGAATGTTTATAGGATTAAATGTCAAGAGTTGTGAGAAACTGAATTTAAATGTATTTGGCTAAAGTGTATTTAAACTTCTGATTTCAACTGTATCTATGGTGACCTACAGTTGGTGGAGGTGCTCTCAGAGGGTGAACTGCTGTTCAGACACATCATGTTGCTTCTTTCCTGC